GCGGAAACCATTTGGGCTGTTACAGCTGCTCTTTCCGGTACTCAGTACTACGCCTCTTCGAAGTCATTCTTCCCACGCCACAGTTTGATTCTGGTGAAACTACTGCCCTCCAACAGTGCTAGATTTTGGTCCGCCCCGAGTATTTAATTTTCTCGGTACCACCCATATCTGGGAGGCTTTCGCCAGTCCGCCACCTGGTGAGGTGCCTGATGGAGCCTCTAGCAAACCCACACGGGAAAGCATGAACTACTATTGTGTTATATGGTCACAGTTTTAACAGTTTTGTGGCCCTACGTGCAAATGCACTTAAAACACCTGTCTGCTGTGCTAGTTGTTAAAGGGATTTTCTTGGTGAAGTGTCAAGAGTCTTTCACCATTGTCGTCCAGTGCCTCTTCTGTGAGCCCAGTTCGTTTTATATCTTTTTGTCTACCAATGATCCGGAAACATTTTCTAGCAGACTCATATTTAAAATAGAATTGCGATAAACACGCATGCTGTTTGATAGTATACCTCACTCGAACCATGTTGTACGAAGAATGGTTGATTGAGAAATTCATCATCAGGAACCATCAATCTCGTTGACTCGCCGACTGATACTGCTGCAGAAGCAGGGCAGTTCAGTGATGGGCAAGCCGCTTGCAGGCAGGAAAAGATTGACTCTGTATATACAGGCGTGTCTAATACATCTGATGTTTACTAAACAGGATGTTAATGGTTTGAGAATTGCATAACAGTAATTTGTTAAACTCCAGTACAGCTGTTGGTGTTGTGAGTTCTGTGATTCTGAATTCAGCCACTCTGATTCTAAAAACTCATATTGAGATTACTGGCCAGTGGGTGGCAGCCCCAAGTAGCTGCTACATTTACAGCGCACCTGCCCCTCTAAGTAAACGCAGCAAAAGATAAGAAGGATATTAGCTTTGCCTTTGTGTGGGGGAGGAACATTTTGCATAGTCCATAATCTTTGACTGTGATATGGCCATTGGCGTTGATTAGTATATTTGCTGGTTTGAAGTCCCGGTGGATTACACCAATCTGAAAGAAACATTAACAAATTCCTTGAAAAATTGGGGATGGAGGATGTGAGGTGTTGCGTATGTAGTGTTATCTTAGCGGTCAAGCCTCTCGGAAGGACCAATGGGAGGGTTGGCTGGGGGTTGATATGTAGCATCCGTGTTCATAAATGGAATATCAAGGAACTAATTCACATCATTGTATGGGAGAATGGGTAAATGGCAGTCACTTAAGAGAAAAGCTGGTTGTAACGAAACGTATATGCAAAGTTGAAACTTTGTATCAACTGGCATTTAGTCTGAAGATCCTATGTCTTAAGTACGTGGTATAAAATACACTCAACATAACAAAAATTCTGTAGGAAATGATAACTGAAGACGTAGCTTTGACCGGTGTTCCTCACCCTTAGGGGTAATGACGTTCACTATTTGAGCTTCAAGATGTCTTCTTCTTCTTTGGCCCTACAGCCTGATATGAGCCTTGGCCTCCTCAACGACCCTCCGCCATCTATCTCTGTCTCGTGCCACCACCCTCCAATTCCTGCGTCTCAACACCCTTGCGTCCTCCACTCCATCAACCAATCTGAGCTTCGGGCAAACGAACTACATGGCACCAAGATTTAAACAGCATGCATAGGTTAAGATTTATTCAAGAGTGTAAAGCATTTGTAATAGAAACATTAACTACAATCCTGCGGGGACATTTCAGTTTCTACAAGAAGCTGTAGCATGTGCCGAGCAGCACTTTTGCTGGTCAGTGTCGTAAAGGTTTCTAGCACAAACACTATGCCTTTTATATAGATTCTAAACTCTTCTACAGCAATTGATAAGAAAGAATCATTACCATACTGGAAACCCGATTGTGATGAACTGGCTTCTGACGAAGATCCACAGTTTTCTTATAACTTCTTATTCTTTACATTACTTTTTCTGCAACGTTTGATTAAGAGAAGGCCATCTTGCACTATTATTATTATTATTATTATTCAGTGTTCTGTCTTACGACAGGTCCATTGCTCTGCCCAAACAGAGCTCTCCAGTTTTCCCTATTCTCGGCTTCTCGTTTTAATTCCTGGAACGTCATCTTCTTTCCTTGTTTAAGATCGTCGGTTAGCTGTATCAATCTTCTTCCTAGTCCTCTCTTTCCTTCAA